CTTATAATCATCCCCAAACATACTCAAAACATGACAGATCTTGTCCTTTCCACTTAGAGGATCTTGCATCTCGGGCCTGAATCAAAAAGCTTGCAGATTCCCAAGGTTATAAAGTGGAGCTAGTTGCAGGTTTTGATGGGTTTAAAATTTGTTTCACAGTAACCAAGGATGGGGTTACCAAGATTTCCCCTTTTCATAGAAAATGTTAACATTGTTTAATGATCTAATGGGCCAGACTGATAAGCCCATAAACATTTGTATGTGCTTTGTAGACAGAGTGGAATCAATAGACATTGCAACTTTATTTGCAACATTTGGCCAGATTTGTTAACTATAGTAAATGCTGATTGGGCCATGCCCTTAGTTGCAAGAACTCTGTACAAAGGGAGGCACTACCATTCTGGAATTTAACTAATCAGGAAAGGAAAAGGTTCTCGCAGTCTCATAATTTCCTTTTCTTTCGTTGCTTAAAGTAAAATTGGAATGGAAACACCATTTCTGGTCTAGGTATGCTTAAGACTAAGTTCTTCCAAAACAAGCAGACTATTTCTGGTCTAGGTATGCTTAAGGCTAAATTCTTCCAAAACAAGCAGACTTCACAGTCATCTGACTGAATTGATTTCTTTCTTGCTACAGAAGCTGCAATTTAACCAAGATGTAACAGAAAATGTCAGCCATTTAATTGTGATAATTTGCATCCCAAAATGTCAATCAAAATGTTAAGGAATATAGCTTGTATCCACGATGTAATATTCAACCATCCCAATAAGTGGCGCACTCACCAAATAAGTATCAACCTGCCAAGTGAGTAATCACATTCATATAAATCCTACACATCTCTTGATAGAGCAAAACAACGGAACATGATTTGTGTAGCTAACTCCAAATAGTTAGAATAAGGCTCAAAGGATAATGATGATATGAATTCTACACATGGATAGAGATATAACTGATTATAGCATAAAATGTATGAAACATTCAAATTCCACCTATTGAATCTGATTTAGAGCACATTCACAGCCACTATAATTACAAATAACTTTAATCTCATTATAATTTACATGGATAAAAAGAAACATCAAAACAGGAAAATAATTAAAATAAAAAACAAAATGAAAATATAAACAATGTCACGTAAAAACAAAATGAAAATAGAAAAACAATGTTCGTAAATTCATGTCGTTTTCTTCAGATATTGCAGGGACAAAACAAGACTTAGGCCAGCTATGAAAAACGTGAAGCAAATCATACTTAATTGTGGATCCAGCCTTGCCAATGATGCCACCACAACTGCTATTTGGGACAATGAGTCTCAGCTTTAGTCTAGGGTCCACATCATCACCATCTTCAATATGTAACTATCCAATAAGAGAAACCAACTTACATAAGAATGAAGAAGGTCCATACAAAAAAGATATTATGATTGATAGACAACAAAACATAATACATACCTCACTCTGCAACTTTGAAAGGATAAAGTCCATGGCTGTAAGTATTTCGTCAACAGTTCCAGATATCATAATTATCCTATCAGTTGTTCCTGGAAAATATTCATGATTACGAGACAATTGAAAGCGAGCTCCTGATTGTGACTGGAACTCTGTTATTGTTGAACCACCCTTTCCAATGACAGATCCAGCAGCTGCATTTGATACGAGGAACCTAACAGATGCTGGCTTCTCCTTGTTGTCTAACAAGTGGCCATAACCAATGACAAAAAAATTTACTTAGCACATAAACAAGGTATACATGTGTGTGCATATTGGGAAAGATATAACATGAGATTCAAAAGGAATATAGGACTAAAATATGATATGGGGATATTTTGTCAGCACTGCTAAGAAAAGGAAAAATAAAATTATTTCATATAGACATAAGCAACACCAACTTCATGGACTTGAAATGACCGACCATTTGAATGATCCCAATTTCTAAAAAGGAAAAATGAAAATGAAAAAAGGATGGAGAACTTGGAAGTAAAATACAGATTACCATCTGTCTAAGAATATTATCCATTGCAGATATAACCCTCCTCAAATTTATTTGCAAAAGCATGTTGCATATTATAGTCAGTGCAGTGCGAACATTGACATAAGGATAGAAATAAAATTGAACAAGTATACGGGAACGAAAACCCAATCGTTCGACTTTTAAAATCGACAAGAATGAGTAAAAGAAATATCCATTTCAAGAAGTAACTACAGTTGAGGAGTATATGTCATCTACCTGCCAGGTTATTTTTTTATTTATGCCTTTTAGGCCACTAGCAGTTATTAATCTAGAAGCATTCTCTAATGTAATGTATTCTTATACACCATTGGAAGATATTGATTAATGAGAAAACACTTTACAGCATCATTGTTCCTTCCAAAGAAACTCTATTTCTTAATGTCTTTTACAAACATCAGGAACCCCAGAAGTTAGGGAAAACACTATACAACATCATTGTTCCTTTATCTCCAAAGAAACTCTCTTTCTTATTGTCTTTTACAAACATCAGGTATCCCAGAAGTTAGGGGAAAACCCCCAATGCTACTGCTCCCCTCTCACTAAAAAGTCAATCATCCAAATTCTCCTTGTAGGGAGACATCCCATTTTCAAGAGGACTGGTCTCAATTCCATTCTTATGTGTTCTAAGCCTAGATTCAGGGAGAAAAGTGGCACTCTTTTCTTTGTTTCTTTCTATCTCCTATGACTCAATAACTGTCAAGGAGAAACAGTGCATTATGCATAAAAGTAACACAGAGAATAACTTACCATCTTTCATTGGTAACAGAGGGCACATATCTATGTCAAAGAAAAAACAAAAGGCATTCCCTTCTCTAGCTAAAAAGTGTAACAATCATACAGTACATGGAATTGAATCCAATAATCAAAGAGATAGCAACGGACCAAAACAGATGCATATACACTCAGCACCATAGTCCCAACACCCCAATGACTACTAAATTGATCCCAATCCCCATGTTTTCACCAAAAACCAGAGCCATCAATACAGTAAGCATGAGCCTTATGCAGCACTCTAACCACATTCTCCGCAACAAATGCATCAATATATAGCCCAAAGCCGGTATCCAATATGCACATATATACCTATCTACTGACCCATGTCACCAATAAAGCAAGTTCTTCCCAGTCAATCAAAATTAACAAATCTACTTTCAAGAATATCAGAAACCCAACACTGTTATCACTCCCAATCTAAAAATACAATTGCCAACAATCAAAAAAATTTGTACAAGAAAATAAATGGCCTTGCACATACAAAATGTCAACCCAAACAAACCAGTCATTGCTCTTGTCTAACCAAAAGCACATTCAAACTTCAATGCATTATCCATTATCCATCCAATAAGGAAGTAAGTTTCTCAAAATAACAAGAAACGCAACATCTGATGAATACAGAAAACAGATAGGCATAGATCTGTTCAGTAATTTATAACAATCAAACCAGTAAAATGCATTGACCCATAATAAAAAGCACCCAATTTCACCATGCATAAAACCCAATGTAGAACATCAATTGACAAAGCAAATGGCAAAGAATAAGACCCAAATACTGAACTTTGACCAGAAAAAAATTTGCAGAGAAAAGAGATGGCCTTTTTTTTTTACCAGGGCTAGTTGGCTTGGTGGTAGTGGATCTCTTGTGAGAGACATCGGGTGAGGAGACATATGATGGAGAATCAGGGGACTCAGGGTGATGATCCATTGTCGAAAATTCCACCACCATCACACGCTTTAGAGAGAGAAAGAGCAGAGAGAGAAACCCGAACAGAAACAGGCCCTCTTAGCCGGATTTACTACAACTTGGACAAAAGAAACAACCGCAAAAAGCGGGATCGATCATACCAGCATCCCACTCTCTCTCTATACTCTTTCTCTCCTCTTTTCTCTCTCTCCTCCCGCTTCTCTGTTCTCTCTCTCCTCCCCTCTTTCCTCTCTCTTTTTTTTTCTGTTCTCTCTCCTGCTTACTTTCGAGTTTACATCAAACCGGTACATTATTTAGAGTCTTTAGGCGGTTTCTATCAGTCCATGTAGAAATGAGTCGCCTTTTAAAGTCTATTTTTGAGATGAATTTCATTTTTAAGCGCATGTAATATGGAGATCATGAAAAAATAAATGAATTTTAAAAATTAAAAATAATAATTACATTAAAAAAATATTTGGACCATCAGTTTCAATTGGTTTTAGATGGACCATCTATTTGCATCCATATTTAAGATGGATACTTGTTACCTCGGGGACTGCAAATGTTGAAATGCAGGTCCCTTTAGCATGAAACAATTCTCCTTTTTTTTTAGGGCACATTAGGCTAGCATAAAAATCCTTTTCGACAAATATTTTTTCATTGAAAAATTCTCTTATACGAATGGGTGTGAGAATATTTTCAAACTAATTATCTGAAAAGATATATTGGGACCAATTGGTGTGAAAATATTCTCATGCGTAACTACATGAGGGAATTCTTTCATGACAAGTATGCCCTTAATTAGGGTGTGGTTTTGCATAAGGCTCCAACCTTGAAGAATCAAAATAAGATGTACCTCCAAACTTACCATAATATGCAATTCAAGTATAAAAAATTCTTAGAATGGCACTGTAATATATTTTTATCTCTAATTATAAAATTTTGAACTCTAAGAAAAAAAGGAAAAGCTTTTTATATTGCCCTACAACATAAAAGTTATATCCTTCCCCTTATCCAACCGTCCATTTTTGAATGGAGGGCTAAGATTGCCCCAATCACAATGTCAGGTCTCTACACTATTTTATTTTTAATTTTTTTTATAAACTATTTTGATACCAAATTTTTGACGCCTATTCCTCTATTAAGCTTGCACTAACGAAAAATATAAAAAGATATTTTCAATAAAATAAAATGATCAAAATATCCCTGAAAGTTTAAAGGGGTATTTTGATCATTATTTTTTATCAAAAAATTATTGTTAATATTTTTTATAGGTGCGCCCCAATGAAAAGATGACACGTACCAAATTTCATATTTAGAAATTTTGTATTAAAAAACTAAAAATAAAATACTTTGAGACGTCGGATCTAAGATCAAACAGTGAGTGGCTCTCTTGATAAAAAATGGACAGCTGGATGGTAGGGAGAGGATAGAACTTCTATGTTGTAGGGCGGATATAGAAAGCTTTCCCAAAAGAAAAATAGTTCAAATCAAGCAGATCCAGAAACACGTGAAAAGCTTGAAAATAGACACTCTAGTTGATATATTACAAAAATGTACTAATTTTGGGACTCAAAATGTACTATTTTTGAGACTCAAACTCTTTATTTTCTCTATATCCATACATCTCGATATCGAGCTGATCAATTATATGTTTTCCAACGTAAAAATAACTTTTTTTGAGGGACTTTTGAGGTATCTTAATTCTACAATTTAAGTTGTCAACCTTAGATAAACGGATTCTTTTATTTACGACTTTATGTTGCATTTTATTTAAATAAATGCTAACTTTTTGCTACTGTCATTGGAAACTTCATGATGATTTTGGTAATTTTTTGGGTGAGATTTTGAAAGTTTTAAGTGGGAATTGCAATATCTAAATATAAATATTACAAATGCATTCATATTTAATGAGCATGTATACTATGCTCCCTTGAGAGGGAGCATAGTTTTGCCTCTACTTCCTCAGTCAGAAGACTTTTAACTCGGAGGATTTTATATATCTGAAATTTTAGATACCACTTAAGAATTACTACATGATTATTTTAAAAAACTGAAATTTGAGTTTTTCAACATTTAGATCTCGCCAATCTAAAAATTGATGGTCTCTATTAAATCTTAATAGATTATTTTTTCAAGTGCATAGATATTACAATTAGGAGTTTGTTTTTTATTTAGGTTAATATATAGGTTGAAGAGGTTACATCTTTAAAATTTGTGATCCTAAAATTAATTCTAAGTGGGGTTTTATCTGAGAGAGTAAATGGACATTCCACTCCTGGGCAAGTAGAATATATTTTTGGCTTATTTAATTAAGGATGTAGTTTCTATAAGACCTAAGCCTTATGTAAAAAAGTAAAGCTTTATCTCGAAACCTCATCAGAAAAATACTTTAGGCATAGAAAATGCTTATAATGTTTCTAAAATCAATTTTCACTACCACTTAAAAATTTATAGCTCAAAAAACGTATAGCTCTCTGCGGATTTGAAAACACTTGAAAATGGATGGTCTACAAGATGTGATGTATTATATACTGTTCGTTGGGTTTGAAATCCTTTTGTTTTTTTATAACCATAATGGTCAAGGTTGAGATGATCGATTTGAAGGTCTTCTGATACCGATATTACAATTTTCAGTGAGTTTTGAGATGAGGCTTCACTTTTTTCCATAAGACCTAAGCCTCATTTTAACCTTAACCCTTTAATGAAGGCTATCACTTCCTTTTTCACTTCCTTTTTCAAGTGGCAATAAAAAACAATTTGTTATTGCCTTCAAAAAGGGCAAGAAAAGATTCTTGCATGAGAGTAACAAAATTGTCCCTGCTTCAGTTTAAATTTGGAAAAGAAAAATATATGTCCACAATATTTCAAACTGACTCCAACCAAAACTCTCCCTCTTTTATTTTTGACACAAAATCTTTTTCTCTCTCTCGCCTAACTTGCCCTCTACCACAACAAGAATTGCCACAATAGGAATTACCTCCTTGTACGACACCATGCTTCCCTTAAATGTCACTTTTAATACATGTCAAAAGTTGGAAGAGATGAGAAAACAAAATCTCTCACTCTCCATGCACCCATGTCCATGATTATTTGATTTATACACAAACATGTCTCTCCCTCATTGTCATGCTTTATTATGTGTACAACACCTCTCTCTCTTTTTCTCTCTCTCGTACACATCTCCCTTTCTTGTCCGGTGCTACTTGTCTAGTTTTTTGGTATTTTCAAAACTACTCGAAATTTAATTACTGGATTGGAATCTGGGTGATTTGCATTTGGAAGAACAGAAAGATCACCCCAATTGCTGTGGATTTACGAAAAATATGAAAAAAAATATTTTACTTGAAATGAATTAACCAAAATACCTATATAATGCTTTGGGGGTATTTTGATCAAATTTTTTTTTGGGATTTTTTTTTTATATATTTTTATTAGATGCACATCACTAAGATGTACACACGCTCCAAATTTCAGATCATTTCGACTTGTAGAAAAAAAAAAATTAAAGTTCAAACACTCTCAAATAAACGTGACTGTAAGATCGGCCCAGATTTGATCTGGACCATTGGAAGT